TAACATTTGCAAAATTTTATATTTATAGAATTTATAGAATTTATAGATTTATAGAATTTACAAAATTTATAAAATTTATAGAATCTATAGAATCTATAGAATTTGTAGAATTTGTAGAATTAAATTTGAATTTGTAGAATTAAATTAGGATTTGTAAACTTTATAATATATACTTACCGAGATACATACATACATCTTATTAAATAAAAAGTACAGAAAATTCTTTGTATATTTCCATCGTTTTGTATTCAATCTATTAATTTTTCTCATAAATGCGTAACGTCCGCAGTCAACACAACACATTATTTATATTGCAATATTGCCTTATTTGGTGCATACAACAAAAATAAAAAATAATAAACACTGAAAAGAAGAGAATAAAATCAAAAATTAAATTAAATTGAAAAATTAAAAGATTACAAAAAGATGAAATTAATGTTTTCGTTAACACAATACAGATTGTTATCCTATATACACTCGCTCATCGTTTGAACCAAATAATTGTCTTCATATGCATTGTTTCACACTTCTTTTGTCTTCACATCGATTTACAACAGTCTACAGTGTGTCCCAAAAATGTCCCGCAATCCGGAAATAGCGGGTTCCTCAGATCATTTGAAGCAACTTCTTCCTTTACAAAAATTTTCTCCGAGGCACCGTTAACAAGTTATTAACAAAAAAACAGTGACCAATAAGAATCTAGTACGGCTGACGCGAGGCGGCCCAGCCAATCAGCGCACGAAACGCAGTTCCGCTCATTGACTCGGTCGCCTCGCGCCAGCTGAGCTCGCCTCTCATTGGTTACTGTTTTTCGTTGATAACTCGTTAACGGTGCCTCGGAGAAAATTTTTGTAAAGGAAGAAGTTCCTTCAAATGACCTGAGGAACCCGCCACTTTCGGATTGCGAGACATTTTTGGGACACCCTGTATATGTAAGTAGTAGCAATAGAAATTATCGGAACGAATTATCGGAACATTTTGCATTAATGTTTGTGGCGTATTATGTGGAAAACTGTTTACCAATCTATGCTTGAATTGAAGGCTGATTCTTCGCAGAACACCGTGATACGAATGAAATAAAATTACATCAACTTCTATGACTGTTCGAAAGGTTTCATTATTTTTTGCAGCGAACCCAGTTAATGTATCAATTTCAAGCTTTCTCTTAATATTCATCAGCCTCGATTTTGTCCAAACAGAAACGATTACCGTATATGGCTCTGTAACGATTGAATCGGTGTGCTTAACAAGGTATTGTTCATCCAGCGATAGAAGTCGCGGCGTGCTTGCATGCTGCAGTCCTATGATCGCGGCCCATGATTGATATTGGCCATCGATATCCTTCGTTACTGTGTCCGGCCAATAGAGATACCAACTTATTTTTCTTCTATTGACAGGGAATATTGCAGACGAAGGTCAACGATGGCTAATACCGATCATTGCCAGCGATCAGAGGAGGGACAGCGAACGAACAGCACGCAGCAGAAGTGGAAATGTAAACACGCAGCGACTTTTTTCACTGGACGAACAATACATGATTCAACGTAATGTATTTCTGGTGATTTCTGATATTGTATCCGATATTCTTTAATGAAAAACCGCGTGTAACGTAGTTTTGTGTTCGACAGATTTCACAGTAAATAAAGTGAAATGGAAATAGATTTGGAAAATCGCGCACCGATGCGCTTGAAGGAGTATCAGAGAGATTAAATGTGAAGGAAAATCACAGGTAATAAATAAATATGGAGGAAAATCGGAGCCAATAAATATGAAGGAAAATCGCAGCCAATAAGCTTGACGAAAAAGGAGAGCCAATAAATATGGAGAAAATTCACGGCCGACAAATATAAAGAAAAATCAGAGCCAATAAATATGAAGAAAGATCGAAGCCGGTAAATATTAAGAAAACTCAGTGCTAATAAATATTAAGAAAAATCGGAGACAATAAAATTTAAAAAAAAATCACAACCAATAAATATAAAGAAAAATCAGAGGCAATAAATATGAAGAAAAATCGAAGCTGGTAAATATTAAGAAAAATCGGGGCTAATAAAATTTGACGGAAAATCAGAGCTAATAAATACTAAGAAAAATCAGTGCTCATAAATATTAAGAAAAATAGGAGACAATAAATAAAATTTGAAGGAAAATCAGAGCTAATAAATATTTAAAAAAAGCAGAACTAATAAAATTCGAAGGAAAGTCAGAGCTAATAAATATTAAGAAAAATCGGAGCCAATAAAATTTGAAGGAAAATCAGGGCTAATAAATATTAAAGAATATCAGAGCCAATAAAATTAGAAAAAAAAATCATAACCAATAAATATAAAAAAAAATCAGTGTCAATAAAATCTGAAAGAAAATCACGATCAATGAACATGAACGAAAATCGAACGGTTCAAGCCTGAATGAAAATCGAACGTTTCAAAAGTGAAGGGGAATTGTGTCCATTAAAACCCAATTAAATTACAAACGAATCGTTCGACAAGAGACTTCATTAACATCAGAATAGGACTGCAGAATGCGATTACTTTTTCTATCGTGGCAAATGGGACGCAACGCGAATACGGAAAATTGGAATCGCGGAGGAGTATATCTTCGTTTTCCTTCCGCTGCCGAGAATACGTCGGGAGCAGGCGGAGCAGAAAAATATGCGAGAGAAATGCTTTTTCCGGCGACGAAGTTCGCACAGCAGAAAAAATATTTATCGTAGGAACATGGAGGGAATCGCTTACCATGGGATCCACCTTCAACCTTCTCGTGTGCGGCACCGAACGTTTGCTGCGCGCGTGCGGCAGAGCTCTGTGCACGAAATGGTATTCCGTCTGACTGCCCAGAACCTTTAACAATAGAACAGACAACATTTTTGTTAAACCCGATCCTTCACCTGAATTATACTTATAGTTACTTTACATTTTTGACTGGCGAGCGAATAAAAAATCTTTTTAGAAATTCTGTCAAATTAAAGCAGTTTATTGTATGAAACAGTAACTGAGAAAAAAGCAAATCCGGTGTTGACTTCATTGAATTTCGTAGAGATTCATTTTTCAAACGGGACGCGCGCGCGCGCGCGCGCGAATACGTGAAATTAAAGCAATTTATTTCGTGAATTATTTAGTGAGTTATTCAATCTTTCTCAATGTTATTGAATTTTGGGTCAAAATAATTGCAGAGAATTCCCTGAAATTAATGCATGTCAGCCAAAGCGTTAATTATAATCAGACTGCGAATTTGATGTATTTATGACACAAGTCATATGTAGATATAAAAATAATAAATAAATAATAATAATAATAAATAAATGCATGAGACTAATTTAACAGTGCCGTTAGATTGCCATCAAATCTTCAAAAACTTCCGGTACGACACTTCGTTATTTCACTTCTGTTTGTTTCGCAATCAAAGTATGTAATTTTTGTTTTGCACAAAAATCCGCAGGCTAATTATGATTATTGAGCAGTGTGTATGCAAAATTGTGAAATCTTGTGTTGCATTTTATTCATAAATAGATTGTCAAATTTTTATGCACTTGTGACATATCAAAATGTTGTTTATTTTAACACAAAATTGTCAATTCACATTACTCTTTTTAAGTGAGTTTAAATGCACTTGTGACGTGTGAAAATATTGTTTATTTTAATATAAGATTGTATGCATTTAATTATAAGATAGACTGGCCAAACAAGTGGAGCAAAACTCTATGTAGTCAGACTCGTGTACTCTCGCGATGCAAGTAGAATAAGACAGCGTATAGTCAGACAACTGGAAACTTTGGAGTCCGATAACATACTTCGTACTCAGCGAAATGGAACAGATTGCCTAATACCAGTATAATACATTCCGACGAGTGGATTAATGTGATCTACGACAAGGCAAGTGAAATAAATCTTCCCATAGCCAGACACGATCAGACGGTATGGTTTGAATTGTTCGATTCCTATCTGCCATAAAAAAGCTATTGTGTACAGTGGTGTGAATAATTATAGATTAAAAACAACTTTTACTTTTTCAGTGATAATTAAACAGAAACTGACGAAAACATTATATGTGTATATTTCTACAGGGTGTCCCAGGGTGTTCCTCAGGTCATTTGAAGCAACTTTTTCCTTTACAAGAATTTTCTCCGGGGCACCGTTAACGAGTTATTAACGAAAAACAGTGACCAATGAGAGGCGAGCTCGGCTGGCGCGAGGCGACCGAGCCAATGAGCGGAACTGGGCTTCGTGCGCTGGTTGGCTGGGCCGCCTCGCGTCAGCCGTACTCGATTCTCATTGGTCACTGTTTTTCGTTAATAACTCGTTAACGGTGACTCGGAGAAAATTTTTGTAAAGGCAGAAGCTGCTTCAAATGATCTAAGGAACCCGCCATTTCCGGATTGCGAGACATTTTTG